AAAAAAAAAAAAAAATGAAGAGACGGAAAGGAGATATATTATACACCCTCAGACCCTCACCCATGCACATAAACGACAACTATTTCTTGTGTGGATACAAATTGTCCTATGCATATGCATATGCATATGCCTACTTGTACCAGTTCAACAAAATGGGCAAGCTGCACGCACACATGCACGCTACAATACACAGCAGTAGATATGTTCCGTGATTTGCAAACACACCCGCGTAGAGCGTAGGGTCCAACATCATCCCGATACCATTCCTGCTTTACAGTATGCATACAGCAGTCCACCTTCTCTCAGCATGTCCAATAGTCCGATGCACAAGATGGCCACCATGCTGTCTTGTGTCTTGTGGGGCATGTTACCAGCAGGGGAGATATCTCTGTGTGCTGCTTGGGCAATCGTAGAAAGCCTCTGGTAACGCTATGGATTCATGGCGAATGGTCGAACCTTATCTATGGATAGAGAGATGGATTCGTTGTAAAAACTAAGAAAATGGACTGGGGTATCGATGTGTGTGTGCTACTCGGGGAATCGTGGAACCACAGATAGTGTGTCGGATAAGGCTACGAAGTCATTGACCATTCATCCCGGACTCTTTTCTGTGGATAGAGATGAATTCGTCGTGTTTTGTAACATAAAAAAGTGCATGTATCTACTTGCCTGAATTTTTTGTCTGGAATGGGTACCTTCTTTCCGTGAATGCATATGCCGAGAGATCCGCTGTCTGTCAGAACCACCGCCACATTCCTGCTTCCTGCATACCTGAAGATCTAGCGTCACCCCAACGCTGATTGCCTACCACGCACGTTATTTCCTGGCCCGCTCCAAAACGCGCCATTTTTGTCTTGTGCAGCTAATATGCACACGTTGCCAACAGATTGCTCAAGTGTTGTTGCAGAAAATATAAACGGACGGCATATTTGTTGTTCTCGGATGAAGTATAGAACTACGTTTCAGGACGGCTGTTTTTCGTCCTCATCTGCAGTTTCCGTAGACCCTGTTCCAAACCCTACAACCCTAAACCCAACTTCTTCGATTGCATGTTTACTTAATCCAACAAGTTGAAAAAATAAATAACAGCTATTGTCATGATATTTGAGTACAAGGAAAGGATCTGAACTGTCACATCCCGTTCGACTGTGGGCATATCTCGAATGGGTAGTCTTTCTGTTCTAGGCAAGGTATTTAGGTTCTGGCGGGAGCTGCAACTCCCTAGGATTGTTATCAAAGAGGGAATATTGCCGTAGCGGCCCCTCCCTGCAAGGAGAGGTCCGCGCCCCCGTCTGGTTCAGTCCATCCGAAAGCAAGGAAACAACCAGTGTGCTGCTGCTAAGAGGTAAAGAAGGATCAATATACAACTGAGTCTTCATCGGGAGTCTACGCGTGTAAACCTCACGGCACGATGTACTATTAATAGTGCTGTGTGCAGAACGCGGAGATGAAAGCGGGGGGGCACCATGGCCGCGGGCCCGATGAAAATCGGGAGGGGCCAGACCAAAAGCATTTCCCCTTCGGAAAAGAACTTCTTTATTCTGAATGCAACAGGATTTCTTCAGTTTCGCGGTGCGCGGGTGATTCACTGCGCGTTTGTATATCCGAAAGATTCGTAGAGTGACTGCTGTGTGAGCCCGGCTCTTTGTATCCGCGCAAGCTGGAAGAGTAAATTATTCTCTGGGGTACCGCGGCTCTGTACCCAGTGCGTTTAGACGCCTGTTCGGCTACATAGGCGCCTGCGGAATGGACAGACCGCCGAAACAGCATCAAGCGCAATTTTCTTTTCTCATTTTTTTTTTGCACGCACCCGCGCCCATCTGTGCTTGCTTTCGTCCGCGCGCGTTTGGCTTGTTTATTTAGGTACTGCTCGAGCCGGAGGTGATTGGCCGGTCAGGATCTGACGCTTACGGCTGGGCACGGGGGAAGTACTACGCTGTCGCCCCCTACGCGGAGGATGGGGTGGTCTCCAGATGCGGCAAGGTAATTATCTACAGCAGCATCTATATATATGTATGGGGAAAGCGCAATCGCCTACAATAGTAGTGGCCACTGCGGTCGCGCAACAGCATGCCTTCATTAGTGAGACGTGTTTGCAATAGGGGAAGGAGTGCTGTTTGTCGGGTGTGCTTGGGGGGACTAGGTTTACTAGTGTACCCTCCACAAGGATATCGCGGAACACCCCTGTGCTACACAGCAGATACCATTCGTAGCTCGGCGAAGTGGGGGCGGAACTTTGTGGATCCGCGGGGGGACATGTAAGGCTGATTCCCGGGATTTACCCACTTTTCGTCAACCCGATATTGAGGGTTACGTGTCCCGCAATTCCAGGTGTAAGGAAATACTCATCTCCGGGGTTTCCACACGAAGTAGCAGGCATTCACACGCGATTTGTGGAACCCTGAACGGCCGGCGTCAAGAGCGGCCTTGTTGTCGTTGTCTCCCGCGCTGGCAAACCTTCTGACCTCTGTCCGCTACCTCTTCGCCATCCACGGCAAATAAGCTAGCTCGTTTCTGCGGTCAAAAGCTAACCAATGCGTTCTGCACAGTAGTTCTTAACCCGGGACGGATGTCATGATGAGGCTTCGGGAGCGCCGAGAACGGGGGGGGGGGGGTACGATTTCCACATCGAGGGCCCCCTTGGATGGTGTCGAGTGCTTATCTGGTTGATGACCTTGCGCTTGTTGGCAGGATGGGAAGGAGGTGGCCGTGAGGTTCGAGATAAGGGACATGACGGCTGGGGGGGAGGGGGTGCACCTCTCAGCGACGGAGTGCAAGAAGGTCAGTTTTTGGCGTTGTGTGTCTTCGGAGGGCGGTGTTTAAAGGTAGTAGTGAATACCCTTTGAAAGAGCCGAGCGACTGCCTGGCTTCCCAAATTCGATCGATCACCCCCCGCTGGCCGAGGCGAAGCAAAGACCGATAGATGTCTTGAGGGATGACACGTTATACAGAGGACCAAAAATCGTGCCATGCGTCGGTTGGTATGTGCGACGTGGTCAGCATACACGTTTCCATGTTGTTTTTGTGTGATTACGGCAGTGGCATGTTGCAAGGTCGCCACCCTGCGACTTGAGCTTGCCGCGAGGAGGGGGGGAGCGTGCTGTAGCGGGGTTGGGGGGGTTGGATCAGACGCGGGTGGTTATGTACGAGGGGTAAATCACCCCCCGGGTAGTCACCTCAAAACCAATCCACCCATGAAACACACATCAAACGGGTATAAATACATTTATTCATTTGGCTTTTAAGGTCGTTAGCGGTGGAGCCTGTTCAGGGAGCCGTTTTTTCTGTGCCTGTGCAGAGCAGCTTTCGACCGCTTCACCTGAACAGACCGACTGAAATACGGGCATATCAAGCTTTGCCACTCTTGCTTCGAACAGGTGCAAAAGAGCCAGTACTATTTCTTCCAGGCGGTGGAATTCCTGCTCCCCGGGAAATTTCTCTTCATTTTCTCGGCCAAGAGCACCAAGTGAGAGAGACAAACAAATCAAGGATCCTAGGTGGTGTTCTTGACTCACCGTTTAAATGGAGTCCCTGATCCGCGGACCACACACGAGTGTCGGGGGGGAACACTTCGGGGTTTCTGCAACGAAACTGGATAGGTCGAAACGTGTTTACCATGGACCAGGGATATGGCGATAAAACGGCTGTCCGGTTCGGTACCGCTTGCATTCCATACATTCATGGTGTTTTTCATTTTTTTCTCCACGGATTGTTGGGATTGATCCGCGGGACGTACGTGCGCCAGTGGTTACGTGACGCCATCTCTACACCTGTCATCTATTTAAAAAAAAACTTCTGATGAGGGTAGCCTGTGTCCCCGTACCAGCGTTGTTTTTTCTCCGTCTCTTCTGCTGTTCTGGGGCTGGTTTTATCGCGAATGGCTTACACCAACAGGACGGTGTTCACAATGAGCATCGTGGATTTCGTGGAACGGCGGCCTATCATTACCCGTCTTGAGCCCCAAGCAACACCTGCCCTACACAACGACTTGTTTTGTCAGGTACCCGGATATCGAGCCTGTGCAATTCTCGGTAACTGTCAAGGCCCCGGCGTCCCTCAAGGTGAGGATCTACCCGAGAGTCGAAACTTGCTGCGAAAATTACCACATTGCAATTGCGTTTGTAGTACCCCTCTGTTTCGGTTGGTCATCAGGGTGTGGATCGGGGGTAGTGTTTCTGCTCCTTTCTGTGCACGCTGCATCTCTACGGGGTATGCCGTTGCTGCTGTGCCGTCAATCACGGCCGTCGTCTCCCGTGAGGCAAGCTCAACGTTGAGATGTTGTTGGAGAAGGCTTTGGGCAACTTGAGCCTTGAGATATTGTCGTGATGAGTGAGAGGTTAGGGGTGGGGTGCGATGGTGGTCACTCGTCCACCGCTTCACGTTCGTCGCGCAGTGGCCTGACGCGTACGTCGTCCACACTGATTTTCGTGGTTCGTTAGAACAACAGCCGCACCAGCAATGCCTGCCGTCAACGCTACTATTATCGCAGAAGTCCTCGTCGTGGACGTCCGGTGGCGCCGGGGCGGGGGCGGGGGCCAAGGTTAAGGGCGGCAACCGGTCCCCCCATGGCAGTACCACCTCGGAAGATCGAAACGGCGCGGCGGCGGCGGCGGCGGCGGTGGCGGCGGCTGTGGCGGCTGCCGAGATGGCCGAGAAGAAGGACAAGCGGGAGAAGAACAAACAGAAGAAGCTGGAACAGAAGCTCAAAGGTGTGTGTCGAAGCCCACGCTGCTGCTGTAGCACGCTCTAGGTCACCGAAGGTTAGGTTGGAAGTATAAGAAATCACCCCCCCTGAACCGATTTTTCAAAGCTCAATTACTCCACACCAAAGAGGATGCCAGAATCGAAGGGTACGTTGTCGGAAAGCTCTCGGCGAGACCGTTCCAACGCCGCCATTTTTCGGCATCGTCAATGCTTTTCCCTGCCGAGTAAATCGAGCTTCGGAAATCGGTCCAGGGGGTGTGGTATCTTACGTCATGCAACCTACGGTAGCGCGTCTGTCCTCAGCAGGGGGGCACCACCCACGTCGCGTTGCACGGACTGCGCGCCACGCTTTTTGTAGTCGTTCAAGGGGTTTTCAATTCCCTCTCTTGGCGGCACACTTACATTTCCTGAGGACGTCGTGCGATGTTATGCTTTCTTCCTCCTTCGTCTGGAACCTTTGTTTTGCGCATCTCCTCCATCATGAGTAAAACACCACTGCCCCTGCACGGTTTGTCCTGGTGGCGTGTCCTTGTATTGTACCGTTCTTGCGATGAGCAGAAGCCGGCGTCGGAGCGGGGGTGGCGGGGTCGGGGTCGGGGTCGGCGGTGGCGGCGACGACGGTCACTAAGACCAAGAAGGACACAAACAAGTCGGCAGATGGAGGCGCCGCCTCGCGTGTCGGCGCCGCTGGCCTTGGTGCGTGGTGCCTTGTGGCATCTCTCTCATTTTTTGTTTCAGTAGGAGTCATTTATGCATGGCATCACGCGGACAAGACCTTGCCGTTTGAGACAATTTATCGGGGGGGGGGTGGTGCTCTCAAGTCTTTGCAGTGAGGGTCGAGTGACTATGTTCTTATCCACTGTTTTACCATCCTTGGTGTTTGTTCCTGTCTTCCGGTGTTGTTGTTGATCGTCTTTCGGTTTTCGTGTTTTATGCACGTTTTTTTTGTTTTTTTTGTATATTCCTGTGCGTGTTCGTCAAATGTAGATACCACCGAACCGCGCTGTGATATTCCATTGAATTGCTGATTCGGCCGCCGACTGCTCTGCGTGGTGTGCACACAACGCAACCGGTGCACTGCTGCGGTGTCTCTGGGGCGGGCGTGTGCTTTGTTCGAAGCAGGCAGCACCCCTGTGCAAGGAACCGGCGACCGAAAGCGCGGCGGACCAGCAGGAGGGGACGGTGGAGTCTTCTCCCCTCGCTCCGGCGCGCAAGGAAAGTCGAAGAAGAAGGCCAAGGTCGGCGTCAGCGAACCATCTTCGGCTGTCCGTGTCCAGGTATCTAACACACGTCAACGTTTCCCCCGTGCCAGCGCGTGACCCCTCCCCCAATAACAACATAGTGCGCTCATGTTTGTTACTCCCCGAACTGCGGAATCGAAGTCGCCCGCCCCCCCCCCCGCCGAAATCCAAGGTGAATCTCCAAGCCCCCGCCCGTACGAGTACCCCCAAGGTCAAGGCCCGAGGTGGTGTTCCCGCCGTCACCCCGGCCACATCGTCGTCTTCTTCGGGAGTACGACCAGGTGGAGGGAGCGGGGCTGCAATCGCAATCGGCGGTGATGGGGCAGGGGTAGGGTCCGCCGTGAGCAGCGGCAGCGGCAGCAACAGCAACAGCAAGGCCAACAAAGGGGGCAGTGGCGCGGGCGGCGCTCTTAAGGATAAGGAAAAGGGTGGTGCCAAGGTGAAGGCTGCTGCGGTGCGGAAGAACTCAACGGGCGGCGGTGGTGGCGGTGGCGGCGGCGGGGCGGTAGCAGCAGCAGCGGGCGGATCACCGGCCGCGGGAGCGGCAGCAGCGAAATCGAAGGGGAGACAAAAGTCGCCTGTGGCTTTGGGTGCGGGGCAGCAGCGGCAGGACGGAGGGAAGGAGGCGTTGTCGGGGGGGGGCGTTCGGCGGCAGGATGGAGCTTCACTCGTACCTGCTCCGGGTAAGCGTTGGTGGTTCCAGGTGTACCAAGCTTCGACGATGATGTATTTATTGACTGTGTTGGTGTTGTGCCAAGTGTTTTTGTGTAATTGTTCTGAGGAAAGCGGCCGCGCGACTTTGGCAGAGGAGGGCAGGCCTCCCTGCCGTTAACAGGGGCGCCGTGTATCTTTGTGTACGTGTGGCCACAAACATTGAGAAGCAGGATACGCGCAGGAAGCAGGGTATGCTGTTTGCGTTGTATGTTCGAGTTTTTCAACGTCGGAGCTTTTTGTCTGTTTGTGAGCTGGGTCCGCGCTCGATGGTAGGCAGTCTTGGGGGTCTGTCTATTCATGGCGAGTGCATGGAGAAAGAAGAGCCTTTTCTTTGTCTCTGAAGCACCGTTTGTCGGGGGGGCAGCGACGCCACCAAGATCGCGTCGTCAAAGGCTATAATAGAGCGATGACGTTACAGCGGAAGGAAGCACCACCACCGGCCACCTGCGGAGATGTCGCCGTCCGTCCACTAACCGTGTTGTGCTTGCAACGGGCCAATGAAAATCAACCAGTATCAGGAGGCAGCGGCTACAGCGGCAGCAGCGCCGCCACCATCAAGAAGCGGCCTCGGCCTGAAGGCGGAGGCGGCGGGGTTAGCACTTCCGCAACACCTGCGGCGACAGCGGGCGCAGGGCCGATCGCAGGGGGGGAGAGCGGCGGAGCACCAAAGAAGAAACAGAAGAAGACCCTGGCGCCCAGAAAAACGCCTGCCAAGAGCAGGGCGACGGGGGCCAAGGGCGGGGGGGCGGTTGGCGCCGCCTCCCCTGCTAGTGTGCGGCTTGGTAGTGCCAGTGGTGCCGCAGTGGCCGTGGGGGCTCCGCCGGGTGCCGGTCAGGGCGGGGGTGTCTTTCAAGACCTTGGCGGCGGCAGGGTGCCGTCGCCTTGGGCTTCGTCTGGACTGGCGATAGTCCTGCCTGAACAACGGGAAGGTATGTACGGTGAACGTTCCGACGTCGTTGCGGTCTAGCTTGCTTGCTCGGCCACGTCCCTTGGCATTATTATACTATATATGCAGCCTTGCACAAGACGCACTACTTCTGTACCATGAGCGATGATCGTATACATGTAGCGATGATGGCATTTACTCGCACGTAGCCTCTTCGAATCATGGTTCACGAAGTTTATTTTTGGACGACGACGTTTTTTTTTTTTCCCTTCATGTGCCGTGACCGTCGAGTTGGAGCGTGGCCACCTTTGGCCAGACCCATAGAATTGAGACGCATTGCTGCTACTTACTGCTGCTGTTGGCATTGTTGCTTCCGCAGGTCCCAACTTGCACTTCGGAGGTCCTGGCCCTACGTCTTCTCCTGCGCCAAGCAAAAGCCAAGCCGGTGCCGCGGCAGGGGCGGGGGCTGCTGCGCCGTCGAAGACCGCCTCCAAGAAGACCAGCAAAACGAGTTCAGCAACAGCCAAGGTGTGCGCTGGCGCCACCGTGATTGGTGGTGCCCAACAGGCGGACGGGGTAGTTGATGGAGCTGAGAGGCTCACGAGCAGACTGCGGTGCTGGATGGAGCGAACAACCAGACTCGCCCTCTTGGTAGCCTCGAATGAAGATAGAAGGGTCGTATGGAAGCGCTCTGCAATTGTGGAGGCGTCGGCAGTGAAACGCGGCGCAGTACATAACCTTGTCGTTCGCGTTGCTTACACAGGGCCAGCAGTACACGCATGGTCTATCTTGTGGTTTTTGCCAGGGAGCGAGTGAAGCCCAGCAATCTTTAATCTTCTCTTGCGCACACCTGTTGTTTTGTTTTGTGTCGCGGACAACTGACCCGCCAATTCCATGGCAACACCACCGCCTCAAGACACCAAGTATGGCGTTCGAACGTCACCCGACAACCCCCCCCCCCCCCCCAATGGTACTCCCCACATTGTAATCCTGTTCCCCCTGGGCGTGCAATGGAAGGGACCATGGTTTCACCCAACCCACAACTTGGGTTATTTCGGCCGTCACGCTGCCCGCAACAGGGGACGCCCGGGAAAAAGCCTGCTTCCGCGGTAGCAAGCAAGGCCGGCGGCGGCGGCAACAACAAGTCAGCGAAGGCGGCTTCCGCCTCCGCTTCCGCTTCCGCTTCCGCCGCTGCAGCATCGCCAGCTGCTGCTGCTCCTCCCAAGACCGGAGCTGAGTCCTCTGCGGCGACTGGGGGCAAGGGAGGTTCCGCTGTTGCAGCGGGCTCGCCCCTCCCGCCGAAGGTTGTGAGGGCCTTCAAGACATCATCGTCAGGGCCAGGGACTGCCGACAAGACCAAGGTCTGCAATTCTTCGGCAGCAGCAGTGGGGGCGGCATCACGGCCGGGGGCAGGAGAAAACGCCTCCGCCGCCGCCGCCGCCGCAGCTGTCGCCGCCTCCTCCTGTCACAAATCTCCGAAATGTCTTCTCAAGTCTTCGAAGAAAGTCTCGCCGTCTCCAGTGTCGATTGGCCCGTCTTCCTCTGCCGCTGGCCCGCCCGGTTCGCCCAAGGCCGCCGCCAAGAGTAAGAGCAAGAGCAAGGCCACGCCGGGGTCGCCCAAGGCGAGCAAGCCCAAACCAGGCCCGTCGTCTCCACGATCTGGTGGGGCTGGGTCTGGGCCCTCCTCTGCTCAGCCTGCAGCAGGTATTTGACTCTAGTGTATCCGTTGACAAGTGATGCCTCCGGAGTGGGATCATGAGAGCACAGCGGTGTCATGAAGGGGTGACGCAAGACGAACATGAAAACAGGGAGCAGCAGGAACAACTGGCTTGCTGTGTGGCGTTGCCCAAGCTTAACAGATACACACATCTGACGTGCTTTTGACTCAAAGAGCCCAGCGAGCCCCAACGTACATAAAAGAAAAAGTTGCAAATCTGTGCACAAGCAGTATTATGTTGCGGTTGGGCTGCTGTTTTGCAGGGCGGTTTTTAGAACTAGTTGTTGTACCGCAGAAGCGCAGAAGAGCAGCAGTAGTAGCGAAATAAGAAAGAAAATCAGTTACGTGTGTAGCCCCGGCTACTGCTGTTTCCACGTGATACCGAAACGTACCTGTACACTGATGTCCAGACGATGTGGGGTGGCAATACACACACATGCACGATTTAGAACATGCGAGGGATTCTGCTGGTTCCGCACCATCGTCCCCATGTTCCAAGTGGGGAACAAAACTCATCACGTATGAACCGTTGGAATCACGTGTTTGCTCAGAAGCATACCCGGCTCGTCGTGTTGTTGGGAAGAGAAGCAGATTACGTAATCCTCAGTTTTTTTTTTCGCGGATGCCGTTGTTTGGCCGGTATACTCGATACGCTTTGTCAACACCATTTTCTTCTTTGGCAACGGCGGTGCATATCCTTACGATTATCCGTTTGTCACGACGGCTTGCTTCCTACCGTCGTCTCTGACGAAAATAAAAATCGCTTGGCTTGGGTTTTTATCGCTCTTGTTCTGCTCAGGAGGTGTCGCTCCCGGGGTCGTAGGAGAGCTCGTGCTGGCGGCGGCGGAGGCTGTCAAGACGGCGGCAGCGGCGGGCGGGGACGCGCCGGCACTAGTGGTCCCCAAGGGGCGCGGCCGGCCGCCAACCCCTGGCGGAAAAAACGCTAAGAAAAGGTGAAGAACTCCGCCGTACCTAGCGCTACTCTTGAAGAACTCCGCCGTGCCTAGCGCTGCTCCGAGTCTCGTTCATTGTGTAAAAACGCTAAGAAAAGGTGCCTAGCGCTGCTCCGAATCTCGTTCATTGTGTTCTCTAACCCTATCACCCTTACACGTGAAAGAACGCGCCTCCGACCTCCGTGTGGACCCACCGCGCTGGCTCTGACCCCACTCATGAAACGTGTCCACGCGCTTCGTACTTGATGCTTTGCAGGGAGTACTTGCTCCAGAAGCTGCTGGAGGAAGAGATGGCGAAGGTCAACAAAGACGGTACCCCCGGTCCCGCTGGGTGCAGCGGTCCGTTTCCTCCCCCCTCCTCCTCCTCGGCCCAGAGCGAGAAGGAGAAGGCCAAGGATAAGGACAAGAAGGAGGAAGACAGGGCGAGGGCGGTGGCAGCGGCAGCCGATGCGGCGGACGCGAGAGGTGGGGGAGTGAGATGAGATGACGTTTTTTTTTTTTTTGTCACGCTCTTTGGTGGACGGATTGGGGACAACACCCCCTCTGCTCACTACAAACCCAATATTCTTGTTGTTGGTGTCTCTGCAACTAGTCTTGCATAGCCGGCAGCTGTCGTAGAAGAGCCCGTTCTCCCTCACCCGTAGGTACGCTCGGGCTGGTCTTGTCAACATTGCAGTGAGTGGCTGCTTGTTGCGACGGGTTTTGTTGTGACATCACCGCTGCTACGGCTGCAGGACAGGCGGCGCTTGCGAGTAAGGGCTGCAGTTGTTGGCATGATCGTCTGACGTAGTGCTTATACAACTAGACGGCATTGGGCTTGCATGAAGCCCCGCTCGGATGCCCAAGCACATCAGGCTCTCACGTTGTTTTTATTATCTCTCTGTTTTTGTGTGTCTCTCTCCCTCCCTCCCTCCCTCCCTCCCTCCCTCCCTCCCTCCCTCCCCCCCTTCCTCTCTTCTCTCTCTCGCTCTCTCTCTCTCTCCCGCTCTCGCTCTCTGTCTGTCTCTCTCTCTTCTGAAACGATTGTTATTCTTGGGACAGGCCGACGGTCGAGGGAGCAGGAGGCGCCGGGCAGTCCCGCCGGCAAGCCTAGGAAGAAGGACAACAAGAAGGAGAGCAGCAAAAAGGAGAGCAGCAAAAAGGAGAGCAGCAAAAAGGAGAGCAATAAAAAGGACAACAAGAAGGAGAAGACCAAGAAAGAGAAGAAAGAGGGAGAGGAGAAGGAGGGGGAAGAGAAAGCTGTGGAGAAGGTCAAGGACAAGGATGATGGCAAGGAGAAGGGCAAGGGGAAGGCCGTCAAGGCGAAGAGCGCTAAGGACAAGAGCACTAAGGATAAGGGCTCCAAGGATAAGAGCGACGAGGGCAAGGATTGCGCTGGTGAGAGTGACCGACCTGCAGGTGTGGGACTGGTTTACCCACCCCTGTTTCTCCTCTTAAGAACATTATTCGGGGCATACGCGAGCAAAGCATCGAAATCTGCTAGGGATTTTTTTCTCCCCGCACGCTAGATATGTTTCAATTCATGTGCTTACGATTTGAACGTCGTGTGCTTTTTAATTCTTTTTCGGTCTGGCTCCAGGGGGGCACGCCGATGGTACAGCCGGTTCCGACAAGAAAGCCACCGGAGAAGAGAAACCCCTCCCAACCCCGCCGGCTCCCAAAGGCAAGGGAAAACCCAAGAGCGTCGCCACTCCGGGTGAAGGGGAGGGAGTGTCCGACTCGGCTGCTGCGCCAGCGAGCCCCTCGGAGAAAAAGCGCGGTAGTGGGGGTGCGGCCAAGACACCTGGTTCCAAGGCTCCGTCAGTTGGTGGCGGGGGCGGCGATGGGACCAAGGTTAAGAAGGGGAAGCAGGCGGCGGCGGAGGTGGGGGATTCGGGGAGGGAGGAGATTGACTTGAGGGATGATCCGATGGAGGTGGACGAGGATAAGGATAAGCAGGATGAGAAAGAGGTGGAAAAGGAAAAGGAGGTGGAAGATGACCGGTGGTGGGTGGGCGGTGCCTGGGGCAAGGACGAGAATCACCTCATCGAGTTGGACGAGGTACGAAAGCTTTTCTGCTTTTGTATTTTGTCTTTCCAGTCCTTTCGATTTTTTTTGGGGGGGGCTGTCTTTATGCCCCATCTCCCTTGCCGCTGCCTACATAATTCCACAATGCTGTTGTTTGTTGCTGTTCGGACGGCCTTGCGAGTACATGGCCTGCAATCGTAGTTCTCTCCCTAAGTTTATGTCGGCGAATCATGTATCTATGCATAGAAAATCTTTGATCCCCCTCTCTTCGCTCGATCTCTTCCCCACCCGGTGTCCCTCCCCCACCTGATTATCTCGTGTTTGTCTGTGCTGTCTGTCCCGCCTCCCATGCTGTCCCAACTTCTGCTCGCGTGCACGGACGTACCATTCGCGGCCATACCGATGATAATAAAAAACAATAACAGAACTTGATGCAGGAGGGAACGCTACCGCAAACATTCTCTTCGTACGATGGGGAGTTCGAGGTGCGGCGTGTTTATTGGTAGTTGAATTAGTTTTTGTTCGTGCTTTCTTTTCTCGCTCCGTGTTCTTGATCTCTTTCTCTTCCTTGTTAGAATCACTGCTAGATTTACAGCAGCGGCTGGTAAAAAACTGCGTTTCCCCGTGTCTTCGCTTCTGGGGAAACATTTCTGTTGTTCAGTTTTTTTCGTGGGCATGTTCTCCCCGAATAGTCACATAGGTTTCGCCGCGTTTTTTCGCTAAGGTTGTTGAGGTGGCCTCCGACAAGACGCACAAGGTTATGCGATAGTCTTTGCGGAGGTTCCCCCCAGCGGTATCCGCTCGCTCTAGACTCAAGACGCTTCGGGAAAGTGAATCGACAAGTGTACACATATCAGGGACGCGCGCGCTTGAATTTCTTTTGACGCGACACCAGACACGACGTCGGAAAACAATGTGTTGCGTCCAGCGTGTATGGTCCGTCCGTTGGGTTAATTCTCGTTGCAATGTGCACAAGCTTTCGTAAGAGACTGTTTTTTGTTTTTCGTGTTCTGCTGCTCGTTGTTGTTTGTGTCCCATTTGGGGTGAGGGTTGTCAAACGTAGCCTACAAGCAGTGAGTGGTAGCTTCAAACGACTTTGGTGTACTGACAGTGTGGTAATTTCATGACTTTGATGCACCAACGGTTCTTTCGTGGTTGCTTCCTCTGCAACATAAGAAACTAACGTCAAACAACCCAGCGGGCCAGGACCACACGAATGTGCTTCGGCGTGTTTTATTAACGCAGGTGGATATTCCCGCGGGCCTGTTCGGGGTAATCCTGGATGATACTCGGGCTATCCTGGAAGAGGGCAATCTCATCCGCCTTCCTCGCACCCCTTGCGTGAGGTGAGGCTAACCACGAAAGAGGGATAAATCTGCTGGTCGATCGATCCCTCGGGGGCACCGTAGTGGCACCGTAGGGTGGTTTGTTTGAGATGCATACCCGGTCTCTGTCTGTGTCGCTGTCTGTCTCTGTCCCTGGCTCTCTCTCTCTCTCTCTCTCTCTCTCTCTCTCTCTCTCTCTCTCTCTCTCTCGCCCTCTCTCTGCTGTCGTACGTCATGCCTGATGGCACACGAGGTGGTGTGGTATTTGGGTATTTGGCACTCGCCTAATTTACCAACAAATGGGGGTCCGACGGATGATATTTGTGTTTCGCTATACCAAGAAGCCAGCTACTACTACTGCTGTACGTATTAAACGAAATCGATCGAGTGCCCCCGCTCGGCACCATCCTGGGCCTGATCCTTCCCGTTTCATTGAGGTTATTTCTCGCGAGAGAGGCGTTGTACCCCGTCGCCGAAACGCCAATGAAGTCTTTGCTTCCCCCTGAAACCTTAGCTAAGCTTCCGTGTGTTTGTCCTTGCGGTGTGTAGGGAGGGTCTGGAAGACTTCATCTCTGCTTCGAGAGGCGACGACGTTCCGGGACGGGAGTTCATAAAGTTCATCGGCAACTGGTGAGTGTTCTTCCTGCTTGTTTTGGGTCGCGGTGGCAACCGCAGTGATCGTCTCGAAGGCACGAAGTGATTTTCAGAAGGCGTGAGACTCGACGCTTACTGGTTGAAAAAAATAACCTCTTATTTCGCTCGACACCGCCGTTCCTCTGTGGCGTAGCCCTACATCGACTACATATTTATTGTATATAGAGTTGGTATGGGACTCAACTGAGCACCTGTCCTTGGGTGGTGGCGTTGTCGTTCTGTACCTGCCAGGTACACACACGTTTGCGGTACATACTACCATTGGTTGTCCCTGCTGAAGGGATAAGCTCTCGCAAATGGTAGATTGGGCAAAACCAAAAACGTTTCCCGCATTTTTAACGGTTTTTACGGTAGTGTGTGCTTGCTGTTTCTCGGTGCGAACCATTTTAGGGCAAGATGTGTTGCATTTGGTTAGCGCCCCCTACGGCGGTCCATGGTCCCGCCGAAACCTCGGCTTGTTGTCGTGTTGCTGACCATCGGCCTACCGTAGATGACATGACAACAAGATACCACGCCCCCCTGGACTGTTTTTTTTTTTTTTTTAATCTGATTTTGAAAGCTCGGTTTCTCCACAGCAGAGTGGGGATACAGCGGCGTTGGAATGAACCGCCTCGTCGAGAGTGTTCCGAAAACGTACAGCAGTATCGGTTACCTCGTGGTTCACGCTGTTCGTCCGTGGAGCTGTGAAACTCGATCCAGGGGGTGTGATGTCTTATGTCGCCTACGACGGTATGCCAAGGGCCGCGTTACGTGGAGACCTCACCTCTGCTTGTGCAAGGGGTTTCAGTTGGGCGCTCGAAAGCCGGGTTGCATTTCGAGTTCATCGCACACTCTATATAGCTACGATGACGTTGTCGGCATCAATCGACATTGGAGGCTGCGAGCTGTGCATCCTGTCCATCTCGTATGGTAGACGTTGAATATGATGCCGGTGTTCGCCCGCATCCCCACCAAGTCTCCACCCCCCCCCGCGCGCCCCAATGATCCGCCCTCTCGAGCACGACGCGTGGTCAATGGCAAAACACCCAAAGCATGCAAACATGAAT